CCCCGGTTACCCGTTAGGTTCTTCGTGACTCCGGATATAAAACTGAGCGTTGTGTTTTTAAGTATTTTTTACTTTTAAAGGGCATTGACTTAAATTGGTGCCTTTCTTTTTTCTGGCGGCAGTCGATGATTTATGGAAAATATTATCTAAAATGACATAATGAACGAAGTTGTCTCTGGGCTCATATATGGAAATCTCAGTCTGGACTGAGTTATTAGCGTTGAAAGTAGCTGGAGTCAAACATTTTACTTAGGTTTTTTTATTCAATATATTCATATTTTTGTCACAATTCCTACCTTCAAATTACGCGCCACTGTACACCGGGTACAAGAACACCATATCACACCACAGTATATCCATATTGCCAGGCACTTATTTTTATTAGCTATTTTCTCTCAGTCGAAAACTTGTGGGATGCTTCTAGGAGTTGTGTCAAGCTTCATGAATGTCAGCTGTGGTACCAGTGGTGGGTTGAGTAATGGTAGCCGCCACACGTCTAATAAAATATTATTATTTTGTCGTTGACTCCTGGTGGGAGACTCATCTACTTTATAGTTAGCATAATCTTTTGAAGAAAGGAAACCGTCGACTTTGTAAAGTGATGGACTATACGTGAGATGAGTGCATAATTTTTTCATGTAATGTGATCATACGAAATAATATAATAAATCACTTTGTGACTGAATGACGATATCTTTGTACAGAATCTTATGCTATGATTAGTTACTAATCGGAAGTAAGTCGGGAGAAGTAGTTAGACAGAAAAATGAATTTTTCGTGTTTTGACGACTGCCGTTACTCAATTGGCTACCGACGTCGCAGCTGACAAACATAGCATTTCATGATAGGGCTCAGTAAAGTATTTTGCGGGTTTTCAACTGAGAGGAAATTGATCATGAAAATTTTTAAACCGTAAACATATAAGTGAACACGCTGGCCAATCAAGTGAAATCATTTTTTTTACTTCAGCAGTGGCCAGTTAATGGTTCACTCTGTTCTGATTCCGTGACCTTATAACAAAAAAAAACAAACTAGTTATATTAAGTAAAAAAGTCCACAATAAGCTTTATTTTATTCCTTCAAATCGTTTATAAACATTTATTACAAAATATTTTCTGACAAGTAAATGAAGAAATATGCATTGTGTACGGTCACGAAAAATACTTAAAAAACACAACGCTACCCAGTTTTATATTCGGAGTCGCGGAGAACCTAACGGGTAACCGGGGATCCTGCTTGACGTGCAGTAGAAGGAACGGGGTGGATTTTAGTCAGTAAGAGTCTGGCACTCCCTCCCGCCTCTTCCAGGCGGGAGCAGTCATTCGATGAATATCCCCCCTTAAAAATAACCCAGTTTTATGAACACTCAGCGCCATCTATCGCCAAGTAGCGTAACTTCTACATAGACACCAATTTCGTGTTTTTTAAGTATTTTTCACTTTTAAATTTTGGTTCCAACCATTCTACAATAAATTGCGTATTTTATAGATTGTAGGTTGTAAAAGGTACACTTAATTTGTGTCTATGTGGTAGTTACGCTACTTGGCGATAGATGGCGCTGAGTGGTTATAAAACGGGGTATCGTTTTTTTTTAGTATATTTCGCTGTTAAATTTAGGTTCCAACCATTTTACATAAATTGCGTATTTTATAGATTTTAGGTAGTTAAAGTTAAACGAAATTGGTGTCTATATAGTAGTTACGCTACTTGGCAATAGATGGCACTGAGTGTTCATGAAACTGGGTAGCGTTGTGTTTTCTAAGCATTTCTCGCTTTTAAATTTAGGTTCCAACCATTTTACATTAAATTGCGTATTTTATACATCTTAGGTTGTTAAAGGTACACGAAATTGGTGTCTATGTAGTAGTTACGCTACTTGGCGATAGATGGGGCTGAGTGGTTATAAAACTGGATAGCGTTGTGTTTATTAAATATATTTCACTTTTAAATTTTGATTTTAACCATTTTACAATAAGTTGCGTATTTTATAGATTTAAGGTTGTTAAAGGCACCTACACGAAATTGGTGTCTATGTAAAAGTTACGCTACTTGGCGATAGATGGCACTGTGTGGTTATGAAACGGGGTAGCGTTGTTTTTGTAGTATATTTCGCTGTAAAATTTTGGTTCCAACCATTTTACATTAAATTGCTTATTTTATAGATTTTGGGTTGTTTAAGGTACATGAAATTGGTGTCTATGTAGTAGTTACGCTACTTGGTGATAGATGGCGCTGACTGTTCTTCAAATGGGATAGCGTTGTTTTTTAAATATTTTTCGCTGTTAAATTTAGGTTCCAACCATTTTACAATATGTTGCGTATTTTATAGATTTTAGGTTGTTAAAGGTACACGAAATTGGTGTCTATGTAGTAGTTACACTACTTGGCGATAGATGGCGCCGAGTGGTTATAAAACGGGGTAATGTTGTTTTTTAAATAAATTTCGCTTTTAAATTTTGGTTCCAACCATTTTACAATAAATTGCGAATTTTACAGATGTTAGGTTGTTAAAGGTACACGAAATTGGTGTCTATGTAGTAGTTACGCTACTTGGCGATAGATGGCGCTGAGTGTTCATAAAATTGAGTAGCGTTGTGTTTTATAAATATTTCTCGCTTTTAAATGTTGATTCCAACCATTTTACAATAAATTGTGAATTTTATAGATGTTAGGTTGTTAAAGGTACACGAAATTGTTGCCTATGTAGTAGTTACGCTACTTGGCAATAGATGGCGCTGAGAGTTCATAAACTGGTTTTTTTAAGGGGGGAAAATCATCGAATGTCTGCTCCCGCCTGGGTGAGGCTGACTGACTAAAATCCACCCCGTTCCTTCTACTGCACGTCGAGCCGGATCTCCGGTTACCCGTTAAGTTCTCCGCGACTCCGAATATAAAACTGTGTAGCATTGCTGCCTCGTTGGCCGAGTGGTCGCAAGTGCGACTGCCGGGCAAGGGGTTTCGGATTCGATTCCCGGGTCGGGCAAAGTATTACTGGGTTTTTAAAAATCTCAGTAGTAGCGCGGAGTCTGGAAATGTGCCCGGTATATAGCAATAAGCTTACCCCCTAATACATGGGACTCGTAACATAAATAGTGAAAAGTGGGTGTTACATTGTACAGTGGCATTAAGTGCCATAATGTGCACCTCTGCCTACCCCTTCGGGGATAAAAAGGCGCGATGTTATGTTATGTTATAGATTTTAGGTTGTTAAAGGTACACGAAATTGGTGTCTATGTAGTAATTACGCTACTTGGCGATAGATGGCGCTGACTACTACATAGACGCCAATTTCGTGTACCTTTAACAACCTAAAATCTATAAAATACACAATTCAATGTAAAATGGTAGGAACCAAAATTAAAAAGCGAAAAACACTTAAAGAACACAACGTTACCACGTTTTTAAAAATGACATAGAGGTATATAACAGCAAATAAATGAGTCGAAAAGTGCACCGAATAAGTGTAGATTAACACCAAATAAGCGCTATAGATTAAAGCGTGAAATTTCCAATTAGTTGGTAATTCGTTGAATTGTTTTAAATGGCATACAGTGCCATCTATACGAATACACGCGGCACCATCTATACTAATATTTTTGTTATCCTTTGGGAATACAAGTTCCGGGAGAAAAGTACCCTATTATTTAATCTGGACTTCTAACTTTACGTCTGAAAAATTTCAAAGCAACCGGCTTAGTAGTTACGGCGTGAAAGCGGAACAAACAAACAAACTCACTTACAGATTTATAATATTAGTAAGGATCATTATTTGTGTTACTGCATCTTGCACTGAAACAAAGTCGAAACAAGTATCAAAATCAATTTCAATTACGACTTACCATGCCAGGTTTGTAAAACAAGCGTGATCTCATAGTAGACCGACTGGTAAGGGTCGAAGGGCAACCAGTACAAGAAGTGGAGTCCCATGGGAGAGTCGTACCCGAAGTAGCGCGCCAGGGTGATGAAGTAGGGGGGAGACAGGAAGCTGATCAATAAAGCGTTGTTGCACCAGTAGTAGCCTATGAATAAGACGAGATTTTAAAGGATTTCATTTAAATCAGGCAGAGCTTACGTTATTTTGGACTGAACAATGAAGAAGAACGGTGTGGTGACGGCCTAATGGAATACCTACAATTAATTATTACCTACGCATTTTACAGAAAAAGGGCTGCAATAATTAAAAAACCTTTCCAATTCCAACGCCTCTACCAAGCGTGGAGATTGCGGCAAACTCTCTTATGAATAGGATCTCAGAGACCAGAAGACCTGCCTCGGCTGTTGATTTAAAAAAATGGCAACTTACCAAGTTACAATAAGATTGAAATTACTATGGCTACCTTTAACAATAAAGTTGAGTTGTTTGAGCGCGGCGCTAATGATCTGGTGTTCTTCCTCTGAGACCTCGCCCTCCGGCCACATCTCGCGGAGCTCGTTGGCCAGGTTCTCGTACACAGGCCGGTGGACCACCATCTTGATTGACTTGAACATCGCTGGTATGGTAAATTATTGGCGGATTGGATTCGTAAACAAATCAGTTACCTATAGTACTTTTTCACAGACTCATAAGATACTTTACTGAAATAATAATACTCATTGTATAAGGTTTGTAAGACTTTATTTAAGGTTCATCTAAAGTCGAAAAGATTAGAAAAGAAGCAGGTCATTGCAGTGACGCGCCGATAGAAGAAAATAAAAAGAAAACTAAGTATGTTGTGGTTAGTTGCTTATTCCAAGAAATCTTTGAAGAAAAGAAGCGCTCTTGTAGAGTTAAGACTGAGCAAGAAGGAAAGGAAATCCTCAAAGACATAACATCACGCCTTTTATCCCCGAAGGGGTAGGCAGAGGTGTACATTATGCGACTGCACAATGCAACACCCACTTTTCACTATTTATGTTATGAGTCCCATGTAATAGGGGGTGAGCCTATTACCATATACCGGGCACAATTCCGGACTACGTGCTGCTACTGAGACTGTTTATAAAAAACTCAGTAATACTTTGCCCGACCCGGGAATCGAACCCGAGACCCCTTGCTCGGCAATCGCACTTATGACCACAAGGCCACCGAGGCAGTCTATGATCATCATAACAATAATTATCGATCAAGTAAATTAATTACTACTTACATAGTACGACACATCCGAAGCAGGGCATCGTACGGAACACTTTGATGGAGTCCCGAAAGGTCTTCGCCTCGTAGGCAGTGGTCAACATGCTGACCAGCTCCGAGGGACCCACCAGGAATAGGTTCATCATCTCGAACCAGTAGAACATATCCCATAACATACTGGCGTACAAAAATACTATTTAGTTTGTGGCGACACTAATGTGTTGACATTTTTTATGTGTTTTCAAGTGTGTAGCTGCGCCTGCGACCCTATAGCGCACCCCAGTCGTCTCCCAGCTTTGGTGTTAACCAGTAATATTTTGTAATTTAAAATTATTTGTGAATTGTGTATTTCTTAGAAAAATATAAACACAAAGTTTTACCTATTTTATTTTGGACTATCATTGAACACATGAACTATACTGGTGTCAAGTGAATTTCAATAAGGCTACACACCGCATACTAAATTGGTGACCCCGCGAAACATTTACGTGTAAATTCCGCAAAAAAGTAAAAATAAACTACAACATGTCGATTTCTGACCTTACGGCGATTACCGTAGCTTCGCAAATTTCGGAGTTCTGGACGCATCAGCCGAGAGTGTGGTTTATACGGACTGAAGCGATATTAGCACCCCATAAACTAGGAGACGCCTCAAAATTCGATTTGGTAGTGTCAAAACTAGGAATTGAAGCTATAAGCCAAATAAGTGATTTTTTAATTAACCCTCCTGAAACCAACAAATATGAAGCCCTCAAGGAGAAGTTAATATCTATTTATGAAGATTCTACAAATAGACAGATTATGAAGGAGTTGGCGCGTAACAAAGTACCTGATGATACATTAAGGGTGCTCTGGCAGAACCAACCAACAAGTGTACGTAGTTTGCCGGTAGCCACAGAGAACAAAGACCTCGATAAATTAACTGCAGTCGCGAATGACCTATTTGAAGGAACTAAAGTTAACTCTAATACTGAGGTTAACCAGCAACCTCAACCATCATCGTTGTCAACGTCATCAGAGAATACAATACTAGCGGAAATCGCTAAATTGAATATAAGACTTTCGCAAATGGAGAAGAGAACGAGTGAAAACAGATCCCGAAACAACAACTACAATCAAGGGCGGACGGGACGAGGCAGGAGTGTTACACGATCAGCGACGAGGAACCCGAATTGGTTGTGTTTTTACCATTTCCGGTACGCAGGAAACGCGAAGAAATGTGTAAAACCATGCGCATGGGAAAACAAATCGGAAAACTAGAACCGATACAGCCACAGGCGAAAATCTGCGCCATATCTCCGACCCACCGACTTTGTGTTACGGACTTGAATAGTGGTCATTAGTGGTTATAATTTTTTAGTGGACATGGGCGCCGATATTTCAGTTATTTCAGTTTTACCGGTGAGTAATATAAATAGGTTAACACAAGATAACCATTTTAAATTTTAAGCTGCCAATGGTACCGAGATTAAAACTTATGGCATTAGAAATATGATTTTAAATACAGAATGAAGACGTAATTTTCGTGTTTTCCGAGATTATACAACCTATATTGGGTGCACATTTCCTAAGTTTTCACAATTTGTTAGTAGATCTTAATACTAAATAAAAGACAACACACTAATGTTGTTGCCACAGTAGTTAATAATTCTCAACAGTCTAACGGCCATTTTCTATAACCTATCTAGCTATAGAATCTTTGCTTACTGAGATAGAATTTTGACACTATTGTGTATGGAGCTTATGTTTCGAATTCACGACGAACATTCGTCACGTAAGTGGGCTGGAGAACATCGTTGCTGACTCGCTCTCACGAGGCACTGAAATTTATTGCCCGACTGTTGACGATTACAAAATAATGCATTAACGCAGGCAACTGATTCTTATATGAATCAAGTGTTAAACAACCCTCATACAAAAAGTAAAGTGGTTATTAAAAAGTTAAATAATCCCACAGTCATGCCTGTTTTTTGTGAGGTATCAACTGAAGTGGCACGACCCTATTTAACCGAGAAATTTTGAAAAGTTGCTTTCGACAACATACATAATTTTAATCATCCTGGCTTAAAAACGTCGATAAAGTTAGTCACTCAAAAATACTTTTGGCCAACGATGAATTAAGATGTAGTAAAGATAAAATTCAACGGCACGCAATATCGGACCTAGGTCAGTTTCCGAAATGCGATAGATTCGAACACATCCATGTAGATTTAGTAGGTCCTTCAGCTATATCTGAAGATGGATATAGATATTGTCTGACGATCATAGATCGATTTACTAGGTGGCCAGAAGCTATACCATTTAAAAATATTACAGCTGAAACGGTCACGAATGCGTTGTATGAAGGATGGATGGGCGAGTAATTTTTTTTGTTTTGTTTTTGTGCATGATACAAAAAAGTTAGTTTTGTAATGGGTTGGTATTAGGTTACGAAAGCACCAATACCTAACTTTAATTTTTTGTTTGAGTCAATCAAGTGGGTCAAATAGTTTTGTTTAGAATAATTTATTTATGGAATATTTTATTTTGAGAATACTTTACAGATTGCAGATTTTTTTGTACTTCAGACTTAAAGTATACCTACTTTACAATGTAGTTCGACATGTTTAGTATTTTTGATATTTTTTTTTTGCTGTTAACTTTATTGTCGATGTGTAGATACATATTTAGTTTATAAGACTGATTGTACTTCTAACATTTTTGCGAAATTTTAATAATAAGGAAGGAATATTGTGGCGACACTAATGGATTGACATTTTTTATGTGTTTTCAAGTGCGTTGCTGCGCTTGCGACCCTATAGCGTTAGCACCCCAGTCGTCTCCCAGCTTTGGTGTTAACCAGTAATATTTTGTAATTTCAAATTAGTTGTAAATTGTGTATTTACTAAGACAATATAAACATAAAGTTTTACCTATTTCATATTGGACTTTTATTGAACACATGAACTAAACTGAAGTCAAGTGAATTTAAATAAGAATACACACAATATATTAAAAATTATACAATTAAATCCAATTTTAAGATTCCAACGAAAAGCTAAGCCAATTGGTAAATAGTATGATCCTTAATATGTTCGGTTTTAAATCCCAAGCTCTCCTAAATACAAGGAACTCCGAAAATAAGAGGGCGTTTAACGATTTTAATTTTCATCAACCTATTAATCGACATTAAGTAACTTTTAGTTAAAATTTAGGGATGTGAAAATGGCCCTTGATTTCTAATTCATATTCATTCATTCATTTCATATTCTATTTGTATGAGTGGAATGCTCTCCGAAAAGGCATAGCGACGTCCATTTCAAGAAAATAAGCTCGCTGAAAACTTACTCTGAAATGCACTTGTGGTACTTTTTTTTTATGGAATAGGAGGCAAACGAGCAGACGGATTACCTGATGGTAAGCGATCAGCGCCGCCCATGGACACCCGCAACACTAGAAGAGTCACAGGTGCGTTGCCGGCCCTTTAAAAAGGAGTACGCTCTTCTCTTGAAGGTTTGAAGGTCGTATCGGTTCGGAAATACCGCCGACGACAGATCATTCCACAGTTTTGCTGTGCGAGGCAGGAAGCTACGTGAGAACCGGACAGTTGTGGCCTGCCAACCATCTATATGATGGGGATGCATATGCTGTCGTGAGGGTCGATGGCGAAAAGATACGGCAAGTATCAGGTCAAACAATTCCTCAGAGCACTCCCCGTGGTATAAGCGGTAGAAAATGCACAATGAAGCTACATCTCTACGCATTGCCAAAGTGTCGAGCCGGTTTGAAACATCCGGACATCCAACAATCCGAACGGCACGCCGCTGAATGCGGTCCAGAGGAAGAAGTTGGTACTGGAGTGCCCCCGCCCAAAGATGAGAACAGTATTCCATGTGGGGCCGCACCTGTGCCTTGTATAGAAGCAGCTTCTAGTGCTGAAGGGAGAATTAACAACTTAACTGTCCAAGGGGTCACATACGACTCACGACGAACTTTTAGAATAAGTTCATGAGTCAAATGTGACTCATTTTTGGTACAAGTTTGGGGTTTATTTTTAATATGAACGTAGCACCAAATTCTAAAAAAGCTACGTGGACGTAGCAAAAGACCTGACCTTTAAAAAAACAATGGACGTGGAGTACCTAATTGTAAATCTTATTGTATAGGGATAGTTAAGTTGTTAAGAAAGTTCTTTCTTTCGTTTCTTTCAGATCTTTGTCAAATGTGTGTCCCTTAGCCGGAATACTGAAACGTTACTCAATTGTAAGTCGTGCTCAAATATCGTGCCATCTCTGTCATTTTACAAAGAATTTATAGAGATAGAACTATACTTAAGCACGACTTAAAATTGAGTAGCGTTTCAGTATTCCGACATTAGTCAGGTCACAGTTTAACTGGTGATATTGTACTTACGTGGTTTTCTCAGAGATGTTGTGTGTCATACGGATGGCCACCCATCCTAGGACTTTCTTCGTCGGCGCATACGACGCGTCGTAGTCGCTCTTATTGTATACCTAGGCAGTTTAGTAATTGTTTTACTATAAAACAAATGGTAGTGATGCCCATCTAATTATCTATGTAACCTTATCTAAGTACTTCAGCTCATCTGTTGTCATCAACATTTAAATATTATAATATAAATTGCACTATAATTAAAGGGCATCTCGTCCTTTCTTTTACATCAACGTTATATACCTCTATTTCTACATATTAAAATAACTACCTAAATAGTTTCTCCACCATAGCGAATAAGTAAAATAGTTTTAAAAGTATAGATAGAAACTCTTAAATGAAGAGTGGTAGATCAGTAGGCTGCGCGACATCACCGCGACCGCGCACGCTGCTCATCAGGAAGAACCCCTCAGTGATCCGAAACTAGTGGAGCTTTTCTCAGTATATTCACGTGAGTAACCCGCGATTTTTAGTTAACCTTTGACTGCCGACAAAATCTTTTAAAATGGAAGCCTCCGCTAGCGTCGGGCATTATTGTCCGACACGGCATCCATTGTGTTAATGTAATTACGAACTTATATTTATAATTTGTAATTATAAAGTCGGCAACCCATATTGAGCAAGCGTGGTGATTAATGCTCAAATCTTCTCCGTATGAGAAGAGGCGTTTGGTCAGCAGTGGCCACTTATAGACTGTTGATGATGGAAGATTTACGACTCGTAATATTATATCTGACTTCAAACATAATCAAACCCAGTATCAGTAACGTGCTTGTAAGCCTATCAAGAATAACAATGTGAATATTCTTTCCAAACAATAAATTCTAAAGATAAATATACATATCTTACTCGCTCATCAAGCCTTTGCTTCAATTTTTTCTTGAACAAATATTTTCTATAAAGAGACGTCATATTGCAACGACTCAAGATTTCTTTATGTTTGTATCGAAGTACTGTTAAGTTATAATTATGTATTGTGTAATTAAGTTAATTACATAATACTGTGTGAAAAACACAAACCTTTCTTTTAAATTATGGTCGTATTACTTTGTATTAGAGTCGGTGTACACGTTGTTTAGTCATTTCAGCCTAGTTACTTTATGCAAGTTGAATGGACCGACGTGATGGACGCAGTATCACACATATGTGTAACTGGTCAACAAGTCAAATTCAATACTTTTTTGGAACTGTCAGAAACGACAGTTTTCTATGAATTTTGAACGAGATTGTATATTGTGACGTCACGTTTTTTTAGCATCAAACAGCTTACCTAATTCTTAAACATTTTGCTGGAAAGTACTCAAATTAAGCTATGTCAGAAGTCAATTAATAGAAATGTGATTGTTTTCTAATATTTCATTGTATTGAACAGTCGAAATATTTATTTTTGATTAAGGAAAGTTCTCAATTGTTATCATTTTCGGGATGCCTTCCTCCTTTTTAATTTCGCATCCAAAGTTTAAACTATGGTCACTCGCTATGCTCAGTAGGAGTTGTGTCAGACAGCTTACAGAATGTTAATATACATATACCTATTAGCATCACTTCTTTTAACTCCTGAAGGAGTAGGCACAATGTTACACCATTAACACCCATTGCGACCAGTTAGGTACGTTATGAGGAATGTGAGCAGACATCCCGTTTTGAACGGGACTGTTCCTTCCTATGTTCAATTACGAGTCCCGTTGTCCCCGAAATGGATTGTGAGACGCAAATTTGAATAGTAAGAACCAGAACCTATGCGACAACCGTTCGGAAGGCTCAAGTGGTGTGCGAGAGCGATACAGCGGTCATGCAGAATTCATGAATATTTTTGTAATGAAGTAGGTAGGTACAGTCGAAAATACTATAAGTAGTAGGTAACATTTTTGTGCAGTTAGTAATGTTAACTGTTTGTTGTGCGCACCAAGTTCATGTTTACAGATTCTATAATAAGTTCTAGCTACAAGATGCCTGACTGAATCTAAATAAACGAATGTCCAATTTTGAGTCAAAAAATAAATGGTCACGATAGTTGAGCCCTACCCATCTTATGGCTCCCATGTAATAAAGGGTATCTTTTACCAAACACCGGGCACAGTTCCAAAATCGATGAATTTACGAAACTTGAAACATAAATACCCACTCAGTAATGGCGATGATGTAAATTCATAAACCTAGTTGCACAGTCAGTACCGTCTTTACCATAAGGGCACGCGGTGCCCGTGCCCAGTGCCCATCCTCAGGACGTCCGAAGGACCGACAATTTCTACGACAGACGCTACAGGTTGCGCGGTAACCGGCTGTCTCGCAACGTGTAGCGGGTTTGATTCCCGCACGTAGCAAATCTATGTATGGTCCACAATTTGTTGTTCCGGGCCTGGGTGTCATGCATATGTGAACTTGTATGTTTGTAAATGCACCCACGATTCAGGAGAAAATCCTAGTGTGGGCCAACGCTAAAAAAAGGAACATTCCGAAGGGGCCCCGAATTACACACACAAGTGCCCAAGGGCCCCAGCGTAGTCTTTGACGGACATAACCATAGTTGTGCGCCTATTCTTAAAAAAAATTCTTATCCGCATGTATTATTATTGTGTCACTACAGACACTGTAATATTTGATATTTTTATTTGTGTATATCATTAAACCCCAGCCGCCATAATTAAATACTTTCTTATAATTACACAACCCTTCGCTTCGTGGACGACATCTAATATTTATGAACAACAGATAGCAATCGTTGCATTAAAAATTAATTTAGGAAAAATAACGAATGGCAGATATGAATTATTCAAAATGATTGTTTTAACCTAATAATGTATTAATAAACTTATAAAAACAAATTATAAAACTTATAAAAATACGAGTGCGACTGCCGGACAAGGGGTCTCGGGTTCGATTCCCGGGTCGGGCAAAGTATTACTGGGTTTTTAAAAAATCTCAGTAGTAGCTAGGGTTGCCACCCGTACTTTATAATAAAGTATTGTACGTTATTTAAGGTAATTGTACTCTATACTTTATAAGAATAATAAAGTACACGAAAATACTTTATTTTTGCAAACTTCATTTCTATTAATGTCGTAAGTTTTTTTCGGTAAACTTATCGTATCGATATGATGATTTCGCCACTCGCTAGCGCCACTTAGACAATTTCTGGTAAAGATGCAATTGTTTAGTAAAGATACGAATTTAATACAAACTGCAAAAAGCATTAAAAATATATTTTTAAATGTAATAGTAAAAAAGAATAAATTGTACTTTATTTTTGTACTATGTACTTTTTTTCTTACCTTTAATCGTCAATGTACTTTAAATACCAAAAAAAAAGGTGGCAACCCTAGTAGTAGCACGGAGTCTGGAAATGTACCGGTATATGGCAATAGGCTCACCCCCTATTACATGGGACTTATAACATAAATAGTGAAAACTGGGTGTTACATTGTACAGTGGCATTAAATGCCGAAATGTGCACCTCTGCCTACCCCTTCGGGGATAAAAAGGCGTGATGTTTTGTTATGTAAAAATAAATGAATACCTATGTACTTACGTTTCCTTTACTTACAAATCTGTATTTCCTGAAGGGGTGTCTTCAAGGCCCGTGTGAATAGTTTGCTTATGGGACGACGTGCTCCATCGTAGACCTCATCATCGCTTACCGCCAGGCAAGATAGGTAGTGGTCAAACGTCAATCAATCAAATCTATTAAAAAAAACCTTAACGAAAAAATAACACAAATACACTACATTAACTATCTGACAGTCCACTGGTGGACTATGAGCCTCTTGTAGATTATCTCCTCACTTGCCAGGCGAGTTGGAGATCGCAGCTTAAACGTGTGAGTGAGGTTACCGGAGACCCAATCCCTAACCCCTTAAAACGCCGGCAACGCGCTTGTAATGCCTCTGGTGCACATGGGCTGCGCCGATTGCTTACCATCAGGTGATCCGAATGCTCGTTTACCGGTTTATCCCATAAAAAGCTACATCGCTGCTAAATAATGAAGGGGTCAGTGTTTTTAAATCCGACGTGTCTCCTCAATGTATAAAGATACTAGCTTTTACCCGCGGCTTCGCTCGCGTCACAAAAGGATAAAAGTAGCCTATGTGACATATACCAATACACACAGCGCCATCTATACCAATACTTTTGTTTTCCCTCGGGAATATCAAATAATCGGGATCGGGATAAAAAGTACCCTATTATTTAATCCAGACTTCTAACTTTACGTCTGCAAAAATTCAAAGCAATCGGTTTAGTAGTTACGGCGTGAAAGCGGAACAAACAAACAAACTCACTTTCCAATTTATAATATTAGTAAGGATCATTATTTGTGTTACTGCATCTTGCACTGAAACAAAGTCGCACGTCATGTGTGCGGTGCGAAGTTGTGCAACGCTACTGAGCATATCGAGCGTCACGTGTTGCGGTCAAATATTATCACTAGGCATCAAATCTGCTCAAAATAAACAAAGCCAAATTGGTCGTGTGCCAAAACGACTACAGTACGTAACATACTATGGAGAGAAGTCCTAGGTTTTCGTATAGTAATCCTAAATCTAAGACCTGGACGGGAGTGACAGTGTTCTCAGCTTACCTAGTGCTTCTTATGGTGGAAATATACATAGAGATATTTGAAAACGGCACCCATTTGCGCATTTACAATAATATAGTGCAATATTGGAAATAAATCCACAGAAATATCAACCTGAAACAGTCTAGTGGTGGAGTATGGGCCTCGTTTACAAACAGAAGATTGTCACGGTGGACAGGCGATGAGGCGAATTAGGTGTCGCATGTTTAAAGGTCCAGGCATATCTGGGAGCAGTGCAGTCAACTTTGTAAGTCACTAAGAGCGAGGGGCATTTGTTATTTTGCGTCTCGTTGCAGCGTCGTTGTCCATAACATATGATATACCCCATCATACCGTTCTGTCGTCATGAACGTCGCAACGCAGCGCGTCGGACAAATGGGGGCTCGCTCTAAGGAGGCTCTTATGACATCGTCACAACAAGAATGTATGAAGTAGAGACACGCCCATCCAGTAAGAAAAGGAAGGATGTTTTTAAAACATTTATGTCTAAGAACCAATTCAAGATCAAGGATTATGAACTTGCATACCTACATATAAAAGATCATTGTCCATCACAATATAGCATACAGAGTCGAATTAACCTTTCGTGTCTAATACACGGATCCACGCGGGACGCAATGTATTTTCTATTGTGTCTTATGAGACACTTGTAGCAGTCCGGAACACTCGAACCTCACCTCAAGCCGCGAGCGGAATAGCTCCGCTCGATGACAGTGTGACTGCACCTCAAAATCACGCCACCTCAAGATTCTCAAGAGATCCATTGTTCGGAGGTTGTTAGTGTGTTAGTAGTAGGATTCAACTTAGACAGCGCCCTAGACAAGCACCTCATAACGCCTAATTTTTTTTGGCCTCGCCACCACTCTATCGGCCACTGCGCAACAGGGCACGCGTCTTGCGGTGTCTCCCTGCAACCTAGCGCTTTAAGCACTTGTCTAGTTTGCCTTAGAGGTACTACGGCTGATCGCATAACGTTGAGTATGAGACGGAGAAATCTGTACATCAGAGTGCTTACTCTTGAAACCAATCTAAATGCAATTTCAAATTCAATGTCAAAACTATACAACCCCTATTGTAGCTGTTGAAATAGCATTCAGAGTACGGCATATAAAGCAAAACTCAATACTATTTAGTTCATTCAATATCCACGCAATACGTATGCAATGGGCGCTAGTCTTGCAACCTAAGAGTACAAAATATCACAATACCAATGTCGATGGATCAGAATTGGATTCAAGAGCAAGCCTCCAGGTTGGTAATACCAAGATTACTTACTAGATTGCAGTGAAACTATTTGTGTGGAGGAATTTGATGAAATGAAAGATGAAATAACTGTGATGGTACCAGAA